GTAGGACTATACTAAGTAGTTTTAGTTAAAGTAATTATTTGTTAATGGATAAGTATGAGATGTAGAGAATCTCTAATTTTCTCTAAAAGAACAACCTACTCCCACCGTCCTATTTTATGTGATCCACTTTGACTGACCACAGAGTTTAAGAAAGAAGGAGAAATTGTTGAAAATTGTGGTTTAAAACAAGTCATATATATTTGTATTGCTATAAAATATAAATATCTCATTAAGTTTAAAATGAGAAGTTTAAAGTTAATTTTTTCTAAATATAGAAATGTATCATTTTTTTTGAGAAGTCACATAAGCTAAGCCACTATGTTTATTAAGGGGTGTCAAAATATAAAAAGTTGAACACTAAGAAATCAAGGGGATTCAACATATAGTATTATATACATAAAAAAATAATTTTACATAACTACACAGTGTAGTCGAACCTTGCTTACGGGTGGCTCCGCCACTGAGAGGGAGTATTTTGTATTGAAATGTGACAGGCTCGAATAGAGTGGATGGATATATAAGATTCATGTAGTTGACCCAACTCATTTAGGATTCATGCTTAGTTTATTGATTGATTGTATAATTTTTCTGTTAATCAAATTTGAATCAGTAAGCTATAAAGATAACACCTTTGCTTGATTTTATTATTGCAGAAAGTCAGAGGCTGCAGTATCTATAGAGAAAATTCCCAAGTAAGTATTTTCCATTTTCATTTTTGTTTTAATTCTTTGGCTATCCCGGAAAAGGAGGAAATTTTCAGGATATTGGTTGTTTCATTTGTGTTATTGTTTATCTTGTGTTTGTTTATTCGTTGGTATTTGGATGTGTGTTGAGGTATCTTGAATTGGATGAGTGAAATTTTAGATGGTCGTCAAAGGCGATAAAATCGTTTGCCATGGGTGAACTGGAAGCAAGAAAACTTAAATATCCCACTACTGGAACGGAAGCTCTTCTCATGGGGATTTTGATTGAAGGTTTGTTATTTTTTCTCTTTACTAAGAAAATATTTGTTATTTTGGTAGAGATACTCTATTTGATCATGCCAATGGAATGGAAGCTCTTTACGTTTTGGTACTCATGAGGCTAATTAATCAAACTAACACTTGAATAAACAATAGACAGAAGTCAGAAGTTAATTCCATGTTGCGCTCATTCTTTAATTTAAGAATGTGACATATCGTTAACAATGGATTTTGTGCTACAGATTTTAGTAAGAGGAGGTATTTCAGGTTTTGCATATTTAGAACACTTTCTTCTAGTCTAGGGAACTCCAGTGTAGTTGGGTCCATCTAATTCTCTTATATATTCATTGAGTGACTGATATTTGAATGACATTACTCTTCTGAAATCTGACAACTTACAGAACTTACTCAACATTATGTAGTTACCAAAGCCATTTTACATTTTAGTACATTTAATGGTCATGATATTTGCTATACAACATTGCGATTTATACGAAGTTTTAATATGTGAAAATAATTCAGTTTGGATTGGGAGGTTATTGAGGTGAAATATATAAGTGCTTTGGCTTCTAGAGGAACCAAAAAGAAATTGGTCGGGACATGATCGCAAGTTGATTAGAGAGGTAGTTCTATGGATTTCAGCTTATGTCTTCGAACAATGTGGCTTGTCGAAGTCGAGATATAGCCCTTATAAGTTGATGGGAAATGTCACTTTGTGGATTTTAGCTTATTGTATTAAGAACACTGCGCACCTCGAACATAATTCAGATACATACAGAAGTAAATTTTGGAGGTTATAACTGCATATATTTATATTAGTTTCAGAGATGAAGTAAGAAGATATTTAATTGATAGAAAGGGGTCATTCAGTAATTTGCTTACTCAAGACCGAGTCCCCAATTTACACTTCGACTGTGATTTAAGCTGCTTTAGTCATTTTGGTGAAGTAGCTTCCATGAATATTCATTCTGCTCCTTGAAGTAAACCATGTTAGAATATTATTTCCTTCCGGCATTTGCAGGGACAAATTTTGCGTCAAAATATTTAAGGGCGAACAGCATTACTCTCTTTAAAGTACGTGAAGAAACTATCAAAGTTCTTGGAAAAGCTGACATGTGGTTTTTCAGTCCCGAGCATCCTCCTTTGACTGAAGATGCACAAAAGGCTCTTGATTGGGCACTTGATGAAAAACTCAAATCCAGTATGTGTATTCTCCCACTCAATTTTACATGCATGTTTGTTGGATTGCTGCATCTCTCTGCCTTCATAAGTATCCCGTTAAGGACTTTAGCATGGTTTTAGTTGTTTATTCTACTCGGATGAAATAAAAAATTGACCATA